TCCTCTCCTGCATAAATGTCATAACTCCTTCTTACCTTCTTCATAACAGCCATAAAAGGGCTTAGGACATTATTTAGCTCCTTGAGCTCTGTCTGTCATTCCCAACTGAACTTTTACCACTATTTGCTTCCTCGTTCCCTGTACTCTTGAAGACACTCTGTGAACAGTTGTTGTGACCGGAAAACCCTTTCACAATCTCTCTGGCTCACTAACTCTTGTTTCTCCAGCTAAGTGTTTAAATAAATGCTCCTTTTACTGGGAATTTTTCTTGACTTTGCCATATTGTGTGTGTGTGTGTGCAGGTATCTACATACATAAATGCACAGAAGCCTTTGGGTGGCACAAATGGTTTCTGTTCATCTACTAACCTTCAGGTTGGCATCAGGCTGTGTTTTAAACCTACAACCTCCAAAATAAAGTGTGGAAAGCTACTTCTGCAAAGATTGTTGTTGTTGTTGTTGTTGTATGCCATTGAGTTAAACAAGATCCAATAGCTGACCCTCCAGTGGGTTTTCAGCGGCAGCAAATTGCACAGGAGAACAGTGCCCATCTAAGAAAACTCTATGAAATACTTCTGCTTTGTAGAACTTATAGGGTTGCTATGAGCACAAACCAATAGATTTGGTTTAGTTTGGTTATGCACATATACACACATCAATAGATATGACCACACTTGGTTCTCTGCACCATTAAGGATAAGTTAGAGACATCTTTCCCTTATTAACCTAAATACATTGGGTATATTTCCTAATAATAGAGACATTTCCTTACATGCTGTTGTTGTTATGTGTCGTCAAGTCACCTGTGACTCATAGCAACCCTATGTACAACAGCTCTAAACCCTGCTCTATCTCTTGCCAATTTATTGTCTCTGGCACACTTATCTCTATTAGCATACTAAAACCAAACCTACTACCATTGAGTCAATCCTGACTTAGAAGAACCTAATGGACAGTAACTGCACTACAGGCTTCCAAGGCTAGAAATCTTTACAGAAGCAAATGGCCATATCTTGATCATGTGGAACAACAAATGGGTTTGAACTATCATTCTATGGCAAACAGCCAAGGAATCTGACCACTGTGTCATCAGGATACTTCTTCTGTAACAACCACATAATGAAAAATTTTTTAGTTCATATTCAAATTTCATCAATTGTTTAATAATGCTCTTTATACTTGATGTGGGACACAATCCACTACCATATATTACACTTCATTGATTTATCTTTTCAGTCTCTTTCAATTAGAAACAGTTTCTTGGCCATTCTTGAAGCTTTGAAAATCAGAAGGCCCAAATATGAGATATTTTGAAATGTTTCTAAAAAACAAGTACTATTATGTTCTTCTCAATTGATCAAACCAGTAGGCATAGATGTCTGCTTAGCTCAAAATTGTTCATGTTTGCTTTGAACTCTTGAGTAAGGTGGGATCTGCCAGTTATTGCCACTACTGCGTGGCTCTTTTTACTACTGTAATTAATGATTTGGGATAAGGATATTTGCAACTGTGAACATGTTCGATTCCGCATCCAACTTTCACCTAATACTGCAGCTTCTATTTAGCACCAGTCTTGTATCTAAGCATATTTTTCATTATTTAAAGAAAGATGGAATTCTAATAAATGAACTCTTTCAACTACCCTACCTAGAATACCTGCCACTCTAATCTCTTCACTTATGAAGATCTTATTATCTAGAGTTGAGAGAAGTCTGATATGTATGGCATTAGACAAAGCAAGAGCTCTCATTTGCATTTCAACTCTATTCATGAATTATCTTTTCATTTCCTTTTTCTTGGCAAAGAAAAATAATCTATGAAAGGGGCATATTTTTCATATTGAGAAAGAAGACATACAATATTATTTCTGACTTGCCAAATGGCATATTATTGCTTTTGGTCAAATTATGATAGGCATCAGTAATCACATGGGGGCTTTTTTGTACTTACCACAAGGGCTCACTTAAGGCTCTGAAGAGCTTTCTGCAGGCTTGGGGTTTGTGGATTGAAAATCATTTGGACTGATTAAAGCCATGAAGAGAATAAAGACGGGGGGTCAGATCATATGAGCATTGGGAAGGTAAAATATTATTAGCATTTAAACTAGAAATGGAGCTCTTTTTCTAAATTGATCATATTCACAAAAACAGGCTGGGCTGTTCATTGTAAAATTAGTAATACCCAACATTACCCATCCATTTATAGAAAAGAAAACCACTCTGTGATCCTACTAAGTGAGAAACACCATTATACACAATTTTTAACTTTTCAACAGAAATTCTTCTGGGTTTGGAAAAAAAAATCCCAAAGGACCCTTGAGAGCTTATGTAAAGCTTCCATAAAGGACCACAGAGAAGTGAAATAACAGAGATAAAGCAGCAGTCCTTTGACATCTAGGAAGATCATTTGTTTGACCAAGTGCTCAGTTTCAGAGATAACCAAATGGATTTGATTGCTGTTCTGTGTTGGCAAGTCAGCTATAACTCGTAGCGACCCTATGAGTAACAGTTAACAACCTTTCCCTGTGCTGTACAATCCTATCACCAACACGACCAAGCTCGTTGTTGCATTCCCTACAACAACCCATCTTGTTGAGTCTTCCTCTCTTTCTCTGACCTGTCACCTTTCCCAGCATGATGTATTTTTCCAAGATCTGGCTCCTCCTAACAGCATATTCAGAATTGATAAGATGACATTTCACCATCCTTGGCTCTAAGGAGCACTCTGGCTGCTCTTCCTGCAAGGTGGATTTGTTTGTTCATTGGCAGTCCATGGGATATTCATTATTTTTTGGCCAGCACCACAATTTAAAGGCATTGATTCTTCTCCAGCCATCTCATGTTGTTGTTGTTGTTGTTGTTAGGTGCCGTCGAGTCATAGACAACTCATGACCCTGTGAACGAACAGCCTGAGCACTGTTCATACATACAGTTTCCGGAGGCAAGCCATTTCGGGAGTGGATGCCACTCCTGCTCCCAGGCTTGTTTTATGTAGTTCAAAACTCTTCCCAATCTTGCATCAGCCTCACATTCTTCACTAAATCTAACTCATTGTTGCAATCAGTGCATCAGTCCATCTCCTTGAAGATCTTCCCTGCCTTCACTCACCTTCTACTTTTCCAAGCATAAAGGCTTTTGCCAAGGACTCGTTCCCTCCTGATGACATAACAAAATATTTTAAATGAAATCTCTCTATCCTTGTCTTTAAAGAGTTCTCTGGCTAAACATCTTGGAGGTAAAACTCCATATATTCTTTTGGTATCCCATGGTATATTCAGTACTTTTCACCAGGGTAGAGAGTAAATAAATAATGTTCTTTCAGCCGACTCTTACCAAAAATCCAACCTCCTTGTCATTGAATCTGAACTAAGTCAGAGCTGAGCCTCCAAGAGGTTTTGCTGACCCTCTAATGAGATTTCTGAGGATATACAAAAATGTTTCTATAAACAAACAAACAAAAAAAAATCTGTATGCTGAGCAAATTATCCTAGATGCTGGACTCAGGGAAGAGGAGATTGGAGGGAGACCCATCAATAATCTCATTATGCAGGTGACACAACCTTGCTTGCTAAAATTGAAGAAGACTTGAAGCACTTGTTGCAGAAGATCTAGGAATGCAGCCATCCGTATGGATTGCATGTCACCTCAAAAACAAAGATTCTTACCGATAGGCAGAGATTCTTCTTACTGGACCAATAGGCAGCATCGTGATTGATAGAGTGGAAATCGAAACTGTCAATACCTTCATCTTGCTTGGATCCACAATTAACATCCTGGGTACCAGCAGTAAGGAAATAAGGAGATACTCTGCACTGGGAAAATATGCACTTAGAATCCTTTCCAATAATTGAGGAGTAATGATGTCAGTTTGAGGACTAAGGTGCATCTGATTCAGGCCATACTGTTCCCAATTACTTGCTTTGATGCTGAGAGCTGCACAATGAATAAGGATGACAGAAAAAGAATTGACACTTTCAAACTATGGTTTTGGAGAAGAGCACTGAACATCCAATGGACAACCGAGAGAACAAACAGATAGGTCTTGGAGAGGGTGAAACCAGAGTGCTCTTTGGAGACAAGGATGATGAGATTTCACTTCACATACTTTGGGCATGTTGCTTGGAGGTGCTATTCCTTGGAGAAGGACATGATGCTGGTAAGGGTGGAGGATCAGAGAATGAGAGGAAAACCCTCAACCAGGTAGACTAACACAGTGACTGCTGCAATGGGTTCTTTTTTGTCAGAAAGTGTGAGGATGATACAGGATAGAAAATGGTTCAGATATTTTGTTCATAGGGTTGCTAGAGTCATAGTCAACTCAAAAGCACCTAACAACAACAAGACAACTACAGAAAGTAAGCTGATGTTTCATGGAATGGAGTCAGGAGAGATTATCACCATTGACTCAAATGTATTGAGAAAGAGCTCATGTCGCCAATTCCACTGGGGACCCTTGTGTGATCACTAAATACTTTCTCCTAATGTTAGTAGTATCTGAAAATTTCAGAGCTAGAGAAGACCTTACGAATAATTATATTTTCTCCAAGTATATCTTTTCATTCTTTTATAAACTGCTTGCAAATTTTTTTAAAAGATAAAAAAGGTAGAGTAAAATCAATTTTCTTTGTTTACTGTTAAAGAAACTGGAGATTAGTCAGGTGAAGGGCAATTAAGCAAACCATAAACCAGAGCTAGAATTTAAACCCTCAGTGTCATAATCCACCAGATTAGACTCTGGTTTTTCCTAATAGCACCAATGAGGTCATCAGTAGCCCCCAACTATATTAATATTTAACAAACTCACCAGTTTTAATTGTATGTTAGCTATGTGATTATTTCTTTACTATTTTTTACCCTAGAATATATTGTCCATAGGAATTGAACTTATTTTCCTCAAATCATGTCCTAGTATTTATAATTTAATTGATAAATGAGTAAATAGATAGACCAACATGTCTTACTGTTCTTCTGTCTGTGGTTTTGTTCTCTCACCACAGCCTGCTGCCAGAAATGGCCCTCTCCATAGATTCGTCTCGGTTCCGATGGCAGTGGCGAGTCAGAGATGGCTTCTCTCAGTCCCCGTCAGAAACCACACCACTGCTTTCTCCAGAGAGGCAGAGGCAGAGTTATGACCTGAGACAGCAGAGAGTGGTCTTCCCCAACAACAGGGTATTCCACCAGGATTGGAGACAAGTCTCTAAGGGGTACTCTGGCAACAGAATCTGCACAACCAAATATACCCTCCTCACCTTCCTGCCTCAGAATCTCTTTGAGCAGTTTCACAGGTATCCATCCAACCACTTGACCTAAATACTTTAAACATATATCTGCCACCTGGACACACTTTGTATGTAACTCTTACATCCTGGGGCCACTTTCACTTTCATATTCCAATGAAATAGTACAGGTGTTCCCCTGCATGCCTTGAGAATCTGTGTCATTCATTCATTTATCGATCATCAAATATTTACTGGAGTCTACTGTGTGTCAGATAGTGTGTTGAGTTCTAAAAGTACATGAAAGAAAAGAGAGGTATTATCTTTATTTCTTGTGAAGTAAAAGAAATTGGCATTAATTTATTAAAATTATATAAGTTGATGTAAACTTATTACTAAGGTACAAGCAAGGAGAAGTGCTGTTAAAGGAAATACTATGGAACTGGCACAGTGAAGAAGTTACATGTACCTACCCTTAAAAAAATTATTAAAGTGTGGTCTGAAGAATAAAAATGTGCTTGCTGGGGGAAAAGGATAAGAGAGAAAATAAAGAAAGGATCTAGGAGAATGTTCCTACAGACACCTGCGTGTTCAAATGCAATGAGGGGGGAGAGGAGGGAAGAAAAATATGCTTGAAAAACTTGAATTTATAAGGCACTATCTCAAGAAACCATATGATAACTCTATCATTTCAAATCAAATTAATACTTTGGTAAAATCCTAAATTTTCTAAGTTTTCATATGAGCTACCATTTACTCAGCAGCATCTATGTTCTAGAGTCTATACTATTCACTTTATGCACCTGATGAGTGGTACTTTACGAACTATTTCTAAGAGTCCTTCAAAAGAAGTATCACTATCCCCATTTTACAAAGAGGAAATTGAGGTTCGAGAAGATTGTACAAGCAAGAAACAATAGGGCTAGAGTTTGAATCCAAGTCACTTTGGCTTCAAAGCTCTTACCATAATATTCTAAGTTACTTTGTTATTTTTATTGGTAAAAGAGTAGTACGAGTATTTTGCTGCTTTCTTCAAGGCTTGAACTCACACTTTGCTTGCCTCTTCCAGGTGGGCTAACCTCTATTTCCTGTTGCTGGTGATTCTAAACTGGATACCTTCCATGGAAGTTTTCCACAGGGAAATCACCATGTTACCATTGGCCATTGTCTTGTTCATCATCATGGTCAAAGATGGCATGGAGGATTTCAAGAGATATCTCTTTGATAGAGCGATAAATTGCTCGAGCATCCAAATATATGAAAGGTAAGGGAAATTATATACTTTTCTTCTCTCTTGCAAGTAAGTTACTAAAATCTATCTTGTTTTTCAAAAGATTGACCTGCCTTCTCACATTATATTTTTTTTAACCAGACCAAACTAGTTGTTATGGAATTAATCTTTACTCAAGGCAACCTCTTGTGTATCAGAGGTAGAAATATACTTCATAGACTTTTCAGTGATTGATATTTTTAGAAATAGATCACCAAACCTTTCTTCAGAAACATCTCTGAGCAGACCTCCAAGCTTTGATGAGATGACCTTAACTATTTGTCACATTCAGAGAGTCATTCTGCTAATCCCTGATTATCAGTTGGATTTAGCCCTCAGGGTAGATTTGCTATGTCTAGAAACATGTATTATTATAAAAATGGAAGGGAAGGTATTACTAGCATCTAATAGAGAAAAGCAAATGATTCCACAATTTACAGGACAATTCCCCACAATGCTTTCTGGTCTTAACAACATGGGTCTTGTACTATTAAGAGTGTAGTTATAATCTCTGGAATGAAAGAACCTGATAATGTGAAGAGACAATTCAAGAGCAAAGAATCAAGCAACATGTCTGAAACAAGACAATATATACCGTGCTTTAAACATCTGTGATCTTTGTTTTACAATCCTTGCTTTTAGAACTTAATGAGGTAGGTTTTAGGACCCAGAGTTAATATGTCAGTTCTCCCATGGTGAGGAGGAAAAGGAAGATACCTGTGAGTTACGTCTGCATTCCAACAGGTGGAGTTCTCAAACAAGTAGGAGGAAGTGGCCTGGCAAGGTGTACACCTGTTCTCTTCAAGCGCTTTCCTTGTCATATCTACCCTGGGGTTTGTACACTGCCTTTTTTCTTTTCCATTTTCCTTTTGAAAGAAGAGAGCATTTTCAGCAGAGAAGACAAGTGAAAAATGCCGACCGCGTGGCTCACTGGGAGCTGAACTATGGAATTTATCTGGGAAAAATACCCTTTACCGGAGAGTCAAGTGCCATGCTATGAGAGTTAAGGAAACAGGATTAAGCAGAGATGAGGAAGGAAGGGAGGAAAAAGAGAAAAAGGAAAGAAGACAAGAAACGAGTGGTGGTTTCCAACCTGCCCTTTGAAGGATGGTCCCGCAAGAAGAACCCCAACAAGTGCTATTGTGGAAATCATATCAAGACCAGCAAGTATACCCTCTTGTCCTTCTTACCCAAGAACATCTTTGAGCAACTCCACCGGTTTGCCAATTTCTACTTTGTAGCGCTAGTGGCTCTGAATTTTGTCCCAGTGGTCAACGCATTCCAGCCCGAAATAAGCATGATTCCCATCTGTGCCATTCTGGCCATGACTGCCATTAAGGATGCTTGGGAAGACCTCCGAAGGTTTAAATCGGACAGAATTATCAACAATCGAGAATGCTTCATCTACAGCAGGTAAAGTAATAATAATAATAATAATAAAACAACCTGGGCCTGTTTTGCTGACCCCACTGTGATCTTTCTGTGGTTGTTCATGGCTAATGTTATAGAAGGGATATGATAAAAAGACTCTTTTATTTTAATGAAGACTGTCTGATTCCCCATTACGAAAGTTAACATTTTTTCAAAATGAAAAATAGATCCCATCCATTGTTTAAAATTAGGAAATCTTTATTGTATGGCATTTTCTCTCTTTTTTTTCTAACCTGCTCAACTATTAGCTATTTTGCGTAAATCCTCATCTCTTAGGGTAATGTGACTATGGGCATTTTTGCTTGAGGGTTGATAGAGATTTACTGGGTTTTAGGGGAGCACTGGAATATTGCTTGAGGTGAGTCAGCACTGAAGACATACTGCCCATTGAATCTTGCCTCCAAATCTTATTAACCACACCAAGAGAGACCCAAACTCTCTGAGCTTCATTTTGTTATTTGTCAGAACTTGTTTATTTGTCAGGCTGGCTCTAAGAATCACATGAGATAAGCCATGGCAAGTCCTTAGAACTCCACTTTCCATCATAAATTTTCACTAAATTCAAGTTATGTATTCCCTGCGTAAAGAAAGTTCACTCAGCAGCGAACCAAAATGTTGAGGGTGCCAGTCAATCCATATGAACCTTGGAAGAAAGGCTTGGAGATCTAGTGGGGGGGGGGGGGAGCATCCATTGAAAGCCTTATGGAGCACAACCCTGTTCTGACATCCTTAAAGTCTCTATGAGTCAGAGAAACACAATGACAATTTTCTTTTATTTTCTTTTTTATTATTATTAATTTTAATGAAAGTCTACAGAGATTTTGGATTTTCATTCATTCATTGTTGCAACAATATTCTTTTTTACTTCTGCTTTATCTGTACAAAGCAACACTCACGTTGCCTTTATGATCAAGCCTGTTTTCTTAAGGTGCTCTGACATGATCCTGTCCAAAACTGACCTAGCATACAACCTGTCTTCCTACATTATTTTAAGCATGTTGTTTTCTGAAGGTTTCGTTGAGCAAAAGAGCTGTTTTCTTTCAGTAAAAAAGAAAAACAGAGTTATAGTGTCTCAAAATTGTGATAAATCATACGGCACCAAAGAAAGCATGAGAGCTAAAAATCTGCATTAACAAAGGAAAGGCTTAGCAGCCTCAGAATATTGACTCACGGTCGATAAAGGATTGATTCTTTGCCAATGGAAATTTCATCTCTCTTAAGGAGATGTTGTTGCTGTTGTTAGAAGCCTTCAAATTGGTTCCAAGCCACGCTGAGCCTCTTCCTCTCTTTCATTGACCCTCTATCTGTCTTATTCCCTCTGACTTGATCCACTACAGGTCTGTAAAAGTTCACAGGTGCTCTGATCATTGAATTCAAAGGGGCTTGCCTTGTTATGCACTTCAGCTTCTTAGGAACTGCTTGCTTCTGGGGGGAGTGCCTGGGTGTAAACAGTTAATGTGCTGCTAACTGAAAGATTGGAAGTTTAAGTCCATCCATCCAGAGGGGCCTTATAAGACAGTCCTGGTGATACATTTCTGAAAAATCAGCCCTTAAAAACCTTGTGTATTGTAATTCTACTCCGACATACAGGAGGTCACTATTGTATTCATGGGGTTGCCATGTATGTGGTTGACTGGCAAATTCTTGCTTCTAAACTGCAGTTAACTTCCCTCAGGAAAGTAAAGGGTAAATGCCTTCAAAGTGGCCAAGTAGAGCATTCTGAGTCTAAAGTCCACTTAGAAAACTGTATCAAAGGAAAGTTTCTAAGAGAACTAGCTAACACGAGAGATTTGTTGCCACAAAATTCCCAAGATAAACTCCATGCCTATTCCCTAATATCCAAAGGGTTTCTCAGACTTTTGTATATCTAAAAGAAAAAAAAAATCTAAAGAGGAGTTTTACTTCTTTTGTTTTTTGAGGTTTTTAATCTAGTACTAGTTTTCCCTACGTGGTGCAAACAATTATCATGCCTAGCTACTAATCAAAAGACTGACATTCAAGTTCACTGGAAGGAAAAGCTTTGTGATCTGCTTCGCAGGGCAGTTCCACTCTGGCACACAGGGGTCACCACAAATCGCCAGGACAGATGGAATTGTCTGGGAAGTTGCAAACCCACAGATGTCCACTCATTCCTTACTTTCAGGTAGAGAAGTAAAGCAGAGGAAGAGGTGTGAGGGCTTTCTTCGAAGAGGCTGTTTTTCTTTTTCTGTAATTTATTGTGATTTTAATGAACGTTTATAGAAAAGTTGGGTTTTTCATTCATTCATTCATTCATTCATTCATTTGTTCATTCATTCATTGTTGCATACTTTCCTCCCTAGCCCCACCCTCAGTTTGCTTTAAAAATTCATGCCTGCTTGTATAATTTTCTACCTTTCCCCACCCCTCCCTCAGACCACTTTGCTATTATTTTCTTGTTAAAAATCAGCCTACTCTGTCACTGTTTTCCACCTTTTCTTTCTCTTTTCTTATTTCCCCCATAGAAGCTGCACACTGGTAAACCACAAAATGTTCCTTGAGGAAGAATTCATATGGGCCACTGTGATTCTAGTCCTGCTCCCTTATTTTATTAGGAATCTCCAGTCTCAAGTGTCCTGTAATAAGGAACCTATTCTTGAGGATAATCTCAGTGTTGATGAGATCAGGGAGAAACTCACTCACCTGTGCTGATTACTGGCCTCACCTACTATTGTTACATCATCAGAATAACTTCCAAGAAATGTCTGAAACTGATGTGATAATGATCTTTAAAAAGGGTGACATTAGTTTGCCAGCTCCCTGGCAGGAAGGTATTTAGTGAGTTTTATGATGCTGTTATTGTAGGTGCGTTGAGTCAAGTATGACTTATAGTGACCCTATGAACAACAGATCTGAACCATGTTCTATTCTGTGCCATCCTCACTATTGCAGACATACTTGAGTCCATTGAAGCAGTCACTGCATCATTCTATCTGATTGAGGATCTTTCTTTTGCCAACCCTTCCCCTTTCCAAGTGTGATATCCCTCTGCAAGGAGTATTATCTCCTAGCAACATGCCCAAAGTATGTGAGATGAAGCTATGAAGCTTTGTCATCTTTGCCTCCAAGGAGGACTCTGGCTCCACCTTCTCTGAGACATATATATAATTTAGCTGTATCAATGGGATACTCTCTGCTGCTGGTGGAAACCTTAATTCAAACAGATTTACATCAAGACACTTTGTTGGTTTAAGTCACTAAAAATATTCTAAGGCAAGAAGGTGATCAGACATGGTTTAATCAGTCTTCCAGATTTAACTCATGGAAGTCCTTCTCATTCAGACCCCCTCTGTGTCACTTTAATCTTGAGGTGTCATTTCCTCACGGCAATTAAGTGGCTGAAGACTCACCAACTCTCACATCATCATGTGATAACCTCTAAGAGAAAAAGAAAACACTTCTAGAAATCCTTCTGGAAAGTCAAGAAAAGATACTCACAGAACTTCATCACTCTCTGTTATCCACAGGTGCACTGCATACCAGTTTCTGAACTAATCTCTAAGAGTAGAGCATGGGATTATGTTAATCAAACTCTACCTAAACCA